ACACACACACACACACACACACACACACACACACACACACACACACGAATCCCAAGCCAAACCTATTGTCCGTGCACCAGTTCCAACACAGTGTCTATGTAGGACAGAATAAAGCTGTAGAAAAGCTGCGGTGCACACTGAAGAGCCAGCTGTAGAGCCCATGGGCCATTTCGTGAGAGGCAGTTGTGGCAGTCTGCTTCTGTAAAGACTGACAGCCTTGGAAACCTGAGACAGTTCTACTTTGCCCTGTGGGGTATGAATTAGGTTTGACGCGACAACAGTGTGTTTGGCTTTGAGGTTTCATCTTTATGGAAGAGGACGGTCATATTGTTTTCTCCCTGAGGCTCTGCTGCGCTTGAAGCTCATTCTTCCAGTTAGTAGCTGAACCACTGAGCCAACAAGGCTCGCTCCTTTCCTGACTATACCCAAACCCACAGGCCTAACAGAAGCAAACAAATTTCCATCAAGTGACCATAGGGGAGGGGGGAATGTTCTAACATTGATGTGGGGGTGATTGTACAGTTCTCCACGATATGACTGAAGATTAAACTATTGAATTATATGATGCGTAAATTACTTGTGAATAAAACTGCTGGCAAAAAATAAAAAACAGAGCAAAAAAGTTGATTCTGACTCATAGCAACCCTATTTCCATAGGGCGTCCAAGGCTTTTAAATCTTCCTGGGGGCAGGCAGCTGCATCCTTCGCTGGGAGAGTGGCTCGTAGGCTTGCATCACTGTCCTCGTGGTCAGCAGGCCAACGTTTACCCTGCATACCCAGTCTCTTTTACCATTAATGCACCAGAACAACAACAAAATATGTGTTTTACATACTTATTATAGAAATAGAAGGTATCCTATCTTTAAAAAGTGAATGAAATATATTCTACATACTTGCTTCAAAACACCCACAAAACCTTATTTTCAACACTACTAAGTATGTGACTCAGTTTTTCCCTTTTCATGAATAGCCTTGTAGGAAAACATTCTCATATTCTTGGAATAAAGTCATGTTACAATTCATGATGGTCATTTCTTTTCAAGTCATTATTCACAACTATTTTTTTTTTGAGTAGGCTTCCATTTGTTGGGTGGATAAAAGTTGAAACAAGATGTGTATGTGCTTGGTAAACCATACACTGAGGGTGCTTTACTGAAATGCAAAATATATCTCAGGTATAGAATTTTTGAGGAGCAAGTAACATTCCTCTCATTTTGCATATGAGGAAACAGATGCCTAAAGGAATTACTTGTACACATTAAGACAGCAACTCAGTGGCAAGAAAGCAAGTTGGCAAGAAACCCAGCTGAATGCTCTTTCCTTCAAACTGCACGCACATTGGTGTTGAAAGTCTGCCATATGCTATGATTTGAAAGCTTGTCAAATACATGCCACATAGTGTGCTGTGGGGATCCTGTGCCCAACTCATTATTTGCTCAAACATGTACCATAGGCTCAAATAGCTATTTGCTGATCAGAAAGCATTTTGTTGAGAGGACTCATCAAGTTTGCTTAGTGCTAAAGGATGACTAAACAATACTGCATGAGGAAAAATCATGTGACAAAAAATATTAAGTCAGGTCATTACTGATGTTTTGGGACAGCATAGTCCAGCTGGATTGCATGAAGATAGTAAATAAACTTTTCTTCACTTGCTTCTTTTCTTCATCTGTTGGCTTTTTTTTTCTCATTTGAGGAATGTTATATGTACTTTGAGCAATATTTTACGTCTTGTGGCTATTGTATGAACAGAAAGGAACAGAGAGGAATATAAAAAAGAAGCACAATACTCTAAGGGTAAGTCTTATCATGGTTGCTATGTGAGTCAGGATGACTTAAAAGTTTTGTTCAGTCAACAGGTTACGTGTGTTGTTGTCGAATTCTGAATAATAAAATAATTTCCTATTTACGTTCAGGTGCATATGCATGTGTGCTTGCATGTGTGGATGGTGGCATTTACATGGGAATAAGTGATTGATTACAGTGAAAAGATGACAAAGCAGATGTGAACATTTTCTACATGGCCTTCTGATTTTATTAAAAAGCAGAAAAACCCTAATCGTTTTTGTTTGTTATAATTAATAGTCCCTAAAGAGTAACTCTTACAATTCTTGTAATATTATTTACCGATGTAAAAATAGCCGTCTGTCATTGCTGCCCACCTATCTAGGGAATCAGAGCTTGTCACTGCTCTGACTTTGAGAATATTTTGGTAAAAAGAGTTTGGCATAGACCTCCTTAAAAGAGTTTTATTAACACAAATACATCCCCTCCACTGTAAACAGTGTATCAAAAATGAAGCTCTATATGCTGCTTTCTTTGCCATCTTTCCCTTGGTCTTCCTTCTCGGTTTTGTCTTTTTCGTATTTCTCTTTGTCTGGCTTTGTTACACTGTCATACGAAGGTGGCGAGGGGGTAGACGGGGTCACGTTTATTTTGTCTGGACTTGAGTTTTCATGACCTTTATCAAAAACCACATCTTCTTTATTGAGCAAATCGTCATCTTTGTCTCCACCTTTTATATGGATACTTGATATATTTTTGACGTTTTGCCTTAAGCGGTAGCGTCTGTAAGCACGCTGAAGGATCACGGCAGAAACGTCCTCTTGCTTTCGCTTCAGGGTAGTGGTGATGGGTTCATAGGACACTTTAGAAGGATTTGCAGACATGAACCTTTCTTCCATTTGTGAACGAAGAGAATCCATCTCTCCACCTTCTCCCAGGACCCGCTTTGTGAAGGCAAACAGGATGTCGAGGCAGTGGATCCGGTCCCCGCTGACCATGGGCAGGTCCATGGCGATGAGCTGGACTTTATTTGGTTTTGCGATAAGAAGAGGCGGGTCCAGGGCAGCCGCAAAATCCGGGAGTTTGCTATATTCTATAAACTGTGTTGCATCTGGATCAAATTTCTCCCAAATCTCATAAAACATCTCAAAGTCATCCTCACTCAGGGGCTCGGTACTTTCTTCTGTGGCCACGCTGAAGTTCTCCAGGATGACAGCGATGTACATGTTCACCACCACCAGGAAGGAGATGATGATGTAGCTGACGAAGTAGAAGATTCCAACAGATGGGTTGCCACAGTCTCCTTCAACTGAGCTTCCTGGGTGAACTTTTTTTGGGTTACAGTCTGGGGGTGCACTGTTGAGAATAGGTGCCAGCAAGCCATCCCAGCCAGCAGAGGTGGTGATTTGGAAAAGGCAGATCATGCTGTTGCCGAAGGTCTCGAAGTTGAACATGTCATTAATCCCAGCTTCCTTTTTAACATAGGCAAAGTTGGACATCCCAAAGATGGCATAGATGAACATGACCAGGAAGAGCAGGAGGCCGATGTTAAACAGCGCGGGAAGGGACATCATCAAAGCGAAGAGCAGGGTGCGGATCCCCTTGGCCCCTTTGATCAGACGCAGGATTCGGCCGATCCTGGCGAGGCGGATCACTCGGAACAGGGTAGGGGACACAAAGTACTTTTCTATTATATCAGCTAGCCACATTCCTAGGTGAGGAGAGAAGTAATAAAAAAGGAAATATTTAAATATCCGTAGTATAAATAGTCACAACTCAAAACCGCTTCATCTTCCATCTTATTTCTTATTAATCCAGGACTGTAATTTTAATCTGCCCGTAATTCTGGAACAACCACAGAATTAAACAATTCCAAAGGGAAATTTTTAGATTTGCAATTTCTATACTTTCCCCTTTTTACTAATCTTGTGGACTTTTACTTTTGTCCTCCAAAATAATTTTTCTCCTTATAAGGATAATATGTACTTATGAAGGAATTTTAAGCATAAAAGTGAAATCCTAGAAAGTAAATCTGTATATAAAATCACTTGAATTATCACCAGCTGTGACTAACGATGGTTAGTAACTCATTGAACAACACTCCAGACATTTCCCTTTTTCTCTGCCTGCAGGCATACACACAGAGATGTGATTGTGTTAGACAATATTTCTGTCCCTTGAAATAATATATGTACTTGTGTGATGCTCACTTTCAAGTTAACCATATCGTGAGCAAAAGCATTTATGATGCATCCTGGACTTTTGACTGAAGTGAATATCCTAGAAGCATATTTTTTCCTATTTGCATTAGTACCTTTGGATAATATATTAATAAAAGTTTGGTTATTTCGGGTCTATTGAAAATGCTGTGAGTTATTGCTAAACTTTCTCCAGCAAATCTGTATGAATGAACATCTTTAATAGCTATATGTAAAAGTGCTTGTGCCCCACATGCCCACCAATACTGGGGATTGCCAATTTTTTATAATTTTTAATAGAAAATCTTACTTTTTTTTAGTAAAGATCACTTTATGGGGGGCTCATATAACAATCCCTACATCAATTGTATCAAGCATATTTGTACACCTGTTGCCATCATTATTTTCTAAACATTTACTTTCTATTTAGTATCTGCTCCTCTTTTTTTCTTTCCTCCCACCGTCACTCTTGTGACCCCTTGATAAATTACATATTATTATTTTCATATCTTACACTGATGTTTAAAAATATTAGTATTTATTTATGCTTCTTTGAGAAGAATCCACAATATTTTTGTTTATTTTTTCTTTCTTTGTGAATTGGTTATTTCCAACGGTTTTTTTTTGGCCAGAGCTCATTTTCCTATTGGAAAGTTTACCTTTTTTCTTACTGTTTTATAAGAATGATTTTTCTATTCAGGAGTACTAGTGCCACAGTAGGTTGCTTAACTTCCGGTTAACTGTCAGGCGGTTAACTGAAAGGTTGGAGATTCAGATCCACCAGTCACTTCGAGGCAGAAAGATGAGGTGGCCCGCGCCCAGAATTTATAGGCCCAGAAACCCTACGGGGAAGTCCTACTCCGTCTTACAAGGTCACTGTAAGTAACAATGAACTCATTGGCAGTGGGTTTATTGTGTTGTGAGAAGCACATGAAAATTTCCCATTTCTTTTCCCTATTTCAATGAGAAAACATGTAATGGTCTGTTTTCTCCCGGGGCAGCTGCTGACTGCAGCTCATGAGCTAGCCTATGTGGCTCTTTCTGTGTGTACATGTGGCTCCGGAGTAAAGTTGAAACATTTTAAAGAATATTATTCAGACAATGGTGATTTCATGTGCTTGTAAAAAAAGATATATTTGTGACTCTCAAATAATTTTTAAATTGACGTGAGGGATAGGAATGGCTCTTCTGTCTCAAAAGTTTGCCGGGCCCTGGCCTACCCTATAATGATTTTTATGCTATCTTATCTTTTCTTTCTTTCTTTCTTTCTTAAATTCAGCCTTATCAATATGCGTAGAAAGAATTACTCAAGTGCATGGTTATAAATCTATTTCCAAAAGTTTTCTATGTGATTCCACTTTTACTTTATCTGATCTTTTTACTAAATCAGTGGTTTTATTTTTGCATTTTCACTTAGGACTATCCAAAACCATGGGGCTACTTTTCTACCTTGTCTGTTACCGTTGAACTATTCATTTTAACATCTAGTGTATATGCCATCTCTCAATACTACAGCTTTTCTTCAAGGGAAATTTTAGAATAATTTGTGCTTCTGTTGTTAATTGATGCCCTACCACATAAAAAACTCTAAGATATTTCCATTGTAATTGTTCTAAATTTGTAAGAAAGGTCACAATTACAGTAAGTCTCTCTCACTGTCACAGAAGGCAAGCTCTTCACTTGCGCTTTGGTGCATGTCCTTCTGCTTTCTTCACAGATGCCCCAGACATTTCTTTCGGCTGTTGCTAGACATTTTACTTTATTTCATTGCAACTGTGAATGAGCTGTTTCTTCAAGTATATTTTTCAATGATTAATTTTTGTTTGTTTGAAATGAACTTGTTGGTCAGGAAAGATTCCAAGCCCATCTCAGCTTCACTTTTCTTCCCTTTTTTCCCCTGTATAAAACCACTCAGAGCACTATTTAGGTTTGAAGAATTACTTTTATCCATCCATAGAGACTTATTAATATTCAGCAAAGGTAGTTTAAAATGTGTGCTTTCTGGACATTATTTGAATACTTCCCCATTTAATAAAGAATGCAAAAGGGCCCTCGGATTCCCAGGGAGGTGGTGTAGGTGGTCACAAATGGACATCCCTTGCAGTGGTGGTGGTGGGCTACATGCAGTTTGCTATCGACACCCATCATCAGAGCAGCATCTGCATCCCCTGTGGGGCACTGGGTTTCTCTCAGACTGGCTCCTCGGCCCCTGGCATCCCAGTGATCCTGCCTGAGGTTCAGACAATATACAGAGGCTCAGACAATATACAGAGACTCTGGCTACTCTTGATGGCCGGATGCCAGCAAAGTGATGGAGAAAGGTGCCTAAAATTTGCCTTAATACCATCTGATAAAACTGATATTGCTGATTTTATTTCAGTATGTGTATCCTTTTTTCTTTCCCATCTAATTGCACTGGCCAACTCTTAAAAACAGAAGAGGCAGAGGGCTTTCTTTTCTCATTCCTGATGTATTGGCTATGCTTGTGGTCGCATTCTTACCTCTATTTTCATTTGTTTTTTAACCTAGTGCCATGTCTGTTAGTAATATTTTATTTTGAAAAAAAATTTAAATACTTATTTTTAACTTATTCAGCACTCCGTATTTTGGTATAGGTTTGGTGACTTTTAACTTCTCTGGGACTATTTGAGTACCCGTAAATGGAATTTGTACCTGATGATCTCTGTAACTCTTAACCAAACCAAACCCACTGCTATCTAGTTAAGCAGGACTCATAGCCACTCTACAGACAGGAGCGGCCTGCCTTCTTTTGAGTTTCTGAGACTGTAACTTTTTGCGGGAGCAGAAAGCCCATCTTTCTCCAGCTGGTGATTTTGAACTAATGACCTGGCGGATCACAGCCAACTCGTAACCACTACGCCACCAGTAATCCTTACTCATCTAAGATTTGTAATTAAAAAAATATATATGTATTACTAAAATACTGGGCAAAGCATATAGAGGCATTGGACATAACAAGGGGATATAAAATAAAAACAAACTATACACAGACACCGTTGACAAAGGAGAGGAAGTACAAACTTGTGTACTGAGATGACCGGCAGGACAGGACAGTAATTGGCGAGAAGTGACTGCATATTAAACCTAAAGAAATAAAGCTGACAGTTTGCAATGTAAAGTTCACTTTGAATTCAAGAAACGTTCTCGCAGCCACAGTTGTGGAGATCAAAGCGCATATCTGCATTGGTCTGCATACATACAGGCATGGCAGCTCTCTCTGAGAAAACAAAACATTAACTAGTATAACACGTCCTGTCCAATGTGTAGGAAACCTTTGGTCTTCAGAGCTGGGAAATGAACCTAGGGTTTTTGACACCAAGATTTTGTTGTTGCTGTCATTTGAGGTTCCTTTATTTTATCATTAAAGAACTTATTCGAAGACAACATTTATACCCCAAAATTCAGTTAACATCCTCCTACCCCAACTCCCCCAAGGAGTTTAGTTTTATTCTAAACTAAAATCTGATTGATAAATGCACTTACCTACAATGGAGAGAATCACAACCACAAAGTCAAAGATGTTCCATCCTACAGTGAAATAGTAATGTCTGAGGGAAATCAGTTTCAGCACACATTCTCCAGTGAAAAGGATAATAAAAACCACATTTATCCAATATAAAACGCCAGTCATGTAGACACTCTGTCCTTCTTTTTCCACCATCATGGTCACCATGTTCAGGCAGATAAGAACCATGATGGTGATATCAAAAGCTTGGTTGGTGACAAGGTCAAATATACATCCTTGGATTTTGTTCTGAAAAGAAGCAAGAATAATATGCAGGATAGATTCAATTTTGCAAAAAGTATCCACAGCTCCTTATATTCATAAAAAAGTGTCAAAAATGTCATGATCTCCCTTAGCCATGGATTCTTACTTTGTACAAGAAATATTACTAATCTGTTAAGTATATGTCAGAGCGTATTACATTTTTTGGAACGATTTGCTTTTGCTATATCAGCAGGGGAAGATTATTGAGTAAGCATGGTAAGTATACGCTTCTTGTGTTTACTTACTAATCTGCTGTGTAAAGTCACATGGGCTGCAGTGAAAAATGACCCTGTTCACTACAAGGATTACAGATTTGAAAGGAGGCTTTGATTCAGTGATTGACTCTGTAGGAAAGTGCTGTGGGTTGGGGGAAATAAAAATATCAGCCATACCTAGAAGTCAAAACTTTGATTCAGTAAAAAAGCAAATTAATAACATATCTAGTTGTTCACTACAGTTAGTAAATAAGCACAATTAAGCCTGTGTTTACTTTGCTTATTGGGTTATCTAGAACATTATATCAGACCAATTTTCAGTTATCTTTGTATTGTAACAGCTGTTTTTAAGCGTATCACCCTAGTACTTCATATATGCTACATAAGCCATTTTTTGGAGACAACGTCCATTTCACTCGTGGTATGTGAAGGTAATAAAATTACCTGTCAGCACATTTCTGCCTTGGCATACTAAAGTGAAGCAGTATACTTTACTCTCTATATCTCATTGCCATCAAGCCAATTCTGATTCATGACGACCCTATAGGGTAGGGCAGAACTGCCTCTGTGGGTTTCCTATAACTCTGTGAGAGTAGAAAAGTCTCATCTGTTTCC